CATTCATGTCCTGCAACAGTATCCCTAGTTGAGGCCCGTTACTGAACTTAGATAGACGATGATGATGATAAATTTCAGCTAATGAATTTCAAACAAATCATTCCTGTTTGCATTATTGGACTCTCGGGCAATTAAAGTGGATCATGATATTGTACTTGACAATTCGTGGTAGCACTTTATATATGAGAGCTAGCTCAACAGGCCAAATATCAAGATTGTAGATCTTAAGATTCTGTAAAAGAAGTATTTTAAAGATAAAGTTGAATGCAAACTGTACACGTTACGCCTTCTGCAATGAGGGCGAATTTATCATGACAGCAAATATGACAACATTACATTTAATATTTACTAATTACATATGGGCAAAGTAACGCCACGCAAATATATAAGGTACAAGTGAAGGGTGAATATTTGACTGGACCAATCCTTAAATACAGTATTTACATGTGTGGGGCGCTAACTAGTACGAAATGAACTCTGTCGCTTTGAATCAGTTTTTTATAAAGTTGTCGGAAGTTTTTATTGACATACATAGTACTTTTCACAAGCCGTGTGTGTTTAATATTTAAGTAATACCAGTTGTATGTAAGCATACAATCATCCAGGTTTGTGCTTAACACATGAGTGGATTTGTAATTACGCACATAAAAATGGTTAATTGTTGTAACATGTCTGATGTCTTAGTCAGCTGGGTTGTCTGATGAACGTACGTATGGCATTGGTTATATCTCATACCCACACTTTTTACTTTTATATTATATTGTTCTACAAAACATTTCTTATGATTATCTGATATCAATTTTCTAAAAATCCACAATGTTTCTATAATACCCGGCATTCATACTCGATTCCGAATGTCGATTTTTTTACCTGATAATACTGATGACCTTAACTGAAAATGTGAGCAACGGTCGATCAATGTTTGAATGAGAATTGTTTGATCAATTTAGTCTGAACACTTCTTTTTAGACGGAGTGATATTCGATTTTATTTATAGGCATATTCATTATTTATTGCGCTTTAAAAGTATAGAATTAATAGGCAAACAGAGGGAGATAAATAAGTTATGAGCAATACACACTAATGTGTTTATATCTCCCAGAGCTGTTGGTAAATGAAAAACAGAAGACGTTTATATTAAACTGCGAAAGTGGTTAAATGGTCGTTAGTTTGTAGTTCTATATTAGGCAGGCGAAACGTCAAAGTGGAGTCACAGATATTTTTTGTAGCAATAATGAGTCTAAATTTGCATTTGCTAGTCGATAATGCCAACAAATGGATTTTTTTCTCGTTTTACTCAAAATTTTGTTAAACTAACCGATTTTTTCGAATTTATTTTAATAACAAAAGAAACTGCAAAAACAATTTAGTTGTTTAGTGATTACTGGATTGTCGATTCATTAACTCCAAAAGAGAGACTCTCATCTTGTGATGCACGAAAAATATCTTACACCAGACGAAGTAACTAATGATAAAAGTCTACAAATACGTTTTTTGACCTGAATGATATAATGCTGTGTTATAATGAATTTTTTTATCGAATCTAAAACTGTAGTTCGTGAAAATAAATTGTGTGAAACAAAAACACTTTAGCAAACGCGATGGTTACTGAAATATTGATATCCAGGGAGCTCCCACAGGAGAACGTAATTTCTAATCATCTCGTGTCGCATTTAATATTTATGAGAGCCGTTGTTTTACATTCAAGTCTGATGGTTATTATATTGAAACAAGGCGATTTGAACTGTACTGTGTTCAACTAGTTCCATTTTAATTTGACTGTATAATTTTAACTTGTTTCTAATTTCTAATATACATTTAACTTATATTTCCCTACATTAATGTTTTGTTCTTATTTCTTAAATCAAATTTTAATGAGTAACTCTTACTTTTCTGTTTAAGCTTGTTAATTTTAATTACAAGTTAAGTTTGCATTGGTGTACTTTACATTGTATCACTTGTTTTAAAGTGCGCTCAGTGAAATCCACTTGTTCTACATAAGTACAGGTCAACAGAGAAATAAAGGAGCCTATATACGCATGTGCCGTTTAAATCTTAAGCCAAGGTCACAGTGAATGTTCAATACATCGAGCAGTTTGAAGTAAACTTTGCTGACAAAATTAGTATCTCAGCTTTTGAAGCAGCGAGTTTGTATATTATCTAAGACAAGGTTATATAATTCCTCAATTTTCGCTCCATTTTATAGTTGGAGGTATTCGCTATCTTTTGTAATTTAATTTGAATGATTTTCTTTTCAATTTTAAGTCTCCAACAGTGCAGTGGACAAAGTCTTTATCTTTACGAATTGAAAGCAGTCAACAGAATGGTTATCTACGACTTCGGTATTTTTTGTCTTTGTTTTTTTCATGTTTTTTGTTTTTGTTGAACCAAACTGAGCACTGATCAATATCAATTCAAAAGAGAGGTACACTGGTTCCATTGAAGTGTGATTGATGTTTTTTCAGATTTCGTCCTAATATTCTAGATTTAGGCTTAATTGGCACGCACCTTGACAACCATTTTTCCGTTTCGTTTTACAATGTTTTTTTATTAATGTTTTCATGTACACTTTCATTTGCAATAATGGATGCGAGTTAACATGTCAATGTCATTAAGTATCATTAATGACTTCAATCATTACCTACTGACTGGTAAACTTATTATATTTCATATTTTTCAAATTATACAGCCAGAGTATTGTTTGGGGGAGGGGATTTAGAAGTGTCCTAGAACTGAAGTTTAATACATTCCTCGTTAACAGTAATATGTGGTCAGTGATAGATCTGATATGACAGAAACAAAATTTTAATAGTGATTTTGAATACATTTTAGAATCCGGACAATCCTAGCTAGATGTTACCATGGTACTGTGATAATGTCATCGCTGCTCTTAAAACTGTTGATTTGTCCTTGTATTACAGAATGTATTATATAATAAGAACTTTTCTAGAAAGAAGTTTGAACATATACTATTGAGCATGTATGAAGTTTGTGTTATTACTGAGGATATCGTTCAGAACATTGGATATTAGTGCATCGTCATTTTGTACAATTGGCATTTGAATATTGAAAATCGGAAACCTGTTTGTGATTTCAAGGGCTATCTGCACATTATATTTGCTCAAGTGATTATTAGTATTTGTTTCATAGCTTTGGTTTCTGTTATTGTGACACTTTACTGCAGGCCTCCCGAAATAAGCCACAGGACTGGAGTGTTTTGCATGCTTGATATGCCAGCATAAATGTTATTCACTTCTAGATTTTTTCCTCATGGGTGGTATGAGACAAAAAACGGCTGGCCGAAGGAGTAAAATTCGTCCATCACGAAGTTCCATGAAAGGGTGCACATGTAGGGGTCTCCCGTTGAGGTTTGATAGGGGAATACTTATTTACTTATTTTTCTCCCAACTTGACTAAACTTTTTTTCGGCATAAAGTACTTTCTATGATCAACTGAGTAAATATTTTATGACGTCATTTGACTAGGTATCTTTCCATATTTCCATAAGTAAAAAAATGCTCAAGTCCGATTGGTCGGTGCTTTCTTTTCATATTTCTTCTGTATAAATACTTTTTCTGTGTCGGTTACAATAGACCATATGATCAGCTTAATGATGGTGATCTTTTATTCATTTGAAGAGATATTAAGATGGCTCTCCCTGGCCACTGAGGTTGATGACACGCACTGCCATTACACGTTGCATGACAACGTGAACTTGTGATTATGCTCTTAACCGCTACGTGTTTAGCCACGTGACTGAATCTTGTTTAAAAGTAGTTTCTCTACGGTGTAGTTTTCTGTATATTAGGAGTCTTATATTTTGAAAATTAAACATAACATTCTCCCTGTATTGTCCCAAGATGTATATTGTGATCTTTCAGCGTTTATCATAATTAAAACTATATCACGGTGCCTGAGATCGTTGGTGACCTTGATAATTTACTGTGCTCCAGGTGCCCGTGGGGTTACATCATTACTTGTGTTACGTGTGATTCAGAAAATGCTGCTTGAACGCCTGGTCGTCATTTTTTGTTTTGATTTGTTTGATTTGAGCTGTAATTCTGCTGTTTGTTTTGCTTTTGTTATAGATAGATCTACAATGTATATCAATTCCACCCATTTCATTTGATGCTGTTCTTTTTATGCTTTAAATGTGTTAAAACAATCATACAAAACATTTCGCTGACGTATTCATATGTTTGTCAGAAAATCATAGCCAGTTAAAAATGACGACAAAACTAGATGAGAAAAAGTTCCTACTTATGTTTTTCCTACCCTAAAGACAGCGATCAATTGGTTTTTTTATTGATATATGATTTGAAGGGCAACGTGTCTGCTTTTTGTATAAGCATATCTATATGTACTGGAATGTCGAAGGTAAGGAGTACTTGAATAACTTCAATAACAAATTAAAAATGGATGGAAATGGTTTTAATGGTTAACGCTCATGCCTTCCATGCACAAGGCCGAGTTCCAAGAAAACATTTCTCCTGCCCTCCAATGTGTAAAATTGTCTGAGCTGTTAGTAGTCTCTATGTTTAAACATCCATGTAAGGTTGTACTATGAAAAATGTTGACGTCGAAAGCGTGGTGCCGTTATACAATACCCACAACACAATACACCTTAAACATAAATAGTCACACTAACATGTTGAAATATTAACCATGAGGAATAGGCCATAATTAGGAGTCTTATATGGCAGCTTCTACGATGTCCTCATACCATATTGATTGTATGACGTATAAATATGTATTTTAAAGTGCTTTATACTGTGAAGTGGAAATTCTTGCGTGTGGCAATCTTCACGCTCTGACTCTTTAAACTAATCGCTTATGGTTTTTATAATCTATGTCATCAATTAGCGTGTGAATAATTTTCGCGAAAAGTTTATCAACGCAAATAATTGATCATTTTTTAATCATGCAAATCTTCTTTTACAGCAATTAGATATTTAGTGCACTATATATAATATCGTATAATAAAAATAAAGAACAAAGGCTGTGATTGAAACAAAGTTATTTTATTTTTCTTGATATACGGTGACATACATAAAGCTATGCTCTTAGTATACAGAAATGATGTCTAAATACCAATAAATTAATAAAAGGTTTATAAATGTTACTATTTCATAACATCGAATACTTAATATTTATCATTAAGACAATAACCTACACATATTCGAATGAAAAACAAATGAAGAGAATGTTTTGTTAATGTTTCTATGAATACAGATGAACAAAATAGAGTCAATTTGTAATGTTTCTTCTGTGTCTAAATGATGTAAACGCTCAAATGTTGTCTACTGTTCGAAAGCAATGTAGATGCTGCATTGGTAGTAAGTCCTTCTGTCCCTAACTGATGCAGTGGAACATTCCCATGTAATTGTATGGATCAGTCCACCAACATTTAAAGGGGTAGTGGACATTGCACGACCTATGAAAGGCCACGTTTTTGATATTAAACTCTAGAGCCATATATCCTGCATTCTATTATCTAATCGGAAAAAAATTATATTAAAACCTAGATGAAAAATGTCAATTCTTAGCAACATGTTGGATTGTATACACATACGGAAAACATATAAGGCAAACGAGTATATCATGATACATAATTTGTTATGGAAACACTTGAAAATAGCCTCAACATCACAACGCCGTGTACTTAGTCGCTGACGATACACTGGCTAGAGCTCTCACGTGTAGAGCGCTACATTCACAGGCAAGTCGTATCTACAAGTACACTTCAACGCTCTCGTGACGAAAGCTCACGACGATCGGTGGGTAAATTATCAGTTCAGTTTATATATATATTGCTATATTTCCGGTGTAACACAACTACCATCACTACACTAGCTACAAGCTTCTGTATCTGTCAGGGTACCAGTATACTCAACGATCACGCCATAAGGTATTACTTTTTCTTATAGCGTTCCAGACGCTTTCATAGTAAAGATGTAAAATAAAATCCTCTAAAACATTGTTAGTTTACAATAGCTTAGAGACATGGTTCAAGCTACTTTGATTGTGATATTAAAACCATAACTGACCTCACTTTTCAGTCTTGACAAAATTCTTACGTTTCCTTAAGCTAAGATGTCTTTATAATTTCGTTATTTGTTAACTATTCTACAAAATACCAATCTGACCTCATTGGTTATTATTACAAAGGAGGTGTAAATTCAAATTTAATGACAGGAAAAAGGTAAAACTGTCCCTCCCTAGGATACAGTCTGCATGCGATGAGAATACACTGGTACGACGTCACATCAACAATAGATCTGCCATTGAACTGATTTGCTGTTACCATAAGCATACATAATGTTACATATATCTGTATAATCAGAATATATAATTCATATTAAAAAAAAAAGTATTACTAGTTCTCCATGTGAAAGGTGACATTACAATTCTGTGTGCACCAGTCATGGCTGACACTTTCTGTTCATCTCGTAATGTACAGCATGGTTCATGCAATTTATCAGCATCACGCTTTCCATTGCGGATCGCGGAGATTTTCAAAGGAAACCCCATTAAAACACGAGAGGATAAAGGTAATTTACATGAACTGTACTGAACACGGGTAGCTGTTCAGAGGGTCATTTTTCTTTATATAGAGGGCTATTTGACGATATGAAAATCATCATTGTTTACAGCCCGCAAACGTTCTCAAACGTCGACCAGACAAAGTTTTATCACATCGTTACACAAATGAAATGTATGCTAAATGTTTTAGCACAAATATTTCCTTTCTTAAAATACCCGTGACCGTAATCAAATATTTCTTTTGATATATTGCACCAGGTAGGGGAATCCCCGTGACTAGTTGGGTATATATTACACAAAACAATGGTTGACAAGAAACATTAGATCCGTCCCTCCGGTCACGTGGCTAGATGTTAATCAACTAAAGTCATTCTTCTGGCTTAGGGAACGCGGGTTCTGGGGCACAATCAAACTATCACACACATGAACAATGATTGATCAAAAAGATGAATATAATACATTTAGGCAGTACAAAAATTACCATAGAAACGCAAGAAATAGATAATATATTGTATAAATCACTTTGTCGAAAGGTGGATGACAAAAACTGTCACGATGTGATCTTCATAAAAAATTAGAAATAAGATTTTTACCTTAAAAAATAAATTTTGAGAAAGGCAAATGCATTGGCTTCACTAAACGGACAAAACATATACAAACACCGTCCATTTTATGGACATGTATGAGCATTTTACATTAAAAATATCCAGCATGTATGATTGTATTAATAGGTAAGATTATTAATATATAGCACACATGTAGCTGTTCTCCTTCCATCAATCGTGTGGCGTGTACTCGCGTACGAGTTGTCCCCCTTAGGTCATGTTATTACAGCTCTTCGTGATCGGGAAGTTATTCCAATTTACTTTATATTTAGTGTAGCGAATACCGTTCTGTACATATTTCTCTTAATTATTAACACAGTAACAAATAGGGAAATCACCTAAATATCACCCTGTTATTTTGGTTATTTCGTTACTTTCACAATCATTTTCACCTATTATAATTAGGACAACCTTCATAAATATCACTCACATGAACAATTCTTTGCAATCTTCAGGTAAGATTGACTTTCATTTATTTAAAAGATTTTTTAACGACAACAACCCATTGTATCCCTTCCCAACGTGAGTTCTTTGCTTCTCCACTATTTAAAAAATGGAATGTACCGACTTGAAACACAAATCCACTGTCATTCCTCACTTGTCTGCTATAGTTAATATTGTAGTGCTGAAAGAAATCTCGGCCCATACATAATACATATGATGACTATTGATGGTATTTATCGGTATGTATGCTGCCGAACGGATGAAACATTACTGAGAACTTAAGAACATCATTTGGATCTTGTCATAAAGCTTTTTATATAGACTTCTAACAAATACTGGGATAAGAATATATATATATATATATACATTTAATCTTCGACAGTTTTCCATTTAAATACGCTGAATTGAATTTCACAGTGTTTACAAAGCAAGATATCGACTTGAAAGGGAAAGATGTCGGTTTTTGCCGAATAACACTGGCCGGGCTAACTCAACTATCAAGCAGCTTGGTCCATTATGTAGTTAAAAGAGTTACTTCCCTTATCAGCACTTTCACCCCAGAAAATATACCGTCTCTCTACCAGCCATTATAATAGATTACAGTGTATCCCTCTCTATTCAGCTGGCGTTGATTCTTCTGTTTTCTCCTCACTCTTTTCCTCCGTCTTTTCCTCTGATTTTGTTTCCCCTTCTTCCTTTTCCTCTGGTTTCTCTTCCTCTTTTTCAACATCTTCAATTTTTTCTGGTTTTTCTTCTTCTTTCTCCTCACTTTCCTTTTTCAGATCATCTTCTTCCTCCTTTTCCTCTTTGACGTCGCCGTTTTCCTTTGGCTTTTCCTCTCCCTCCTTTTCTTCGGTCTTCTCGCCTTCCTCTTTAGTTTCCTCGGCCACTTCTTCGCCCCCGCCGTTGGGTCCCTTGTACTTCTTGGCTTTCTTGACAAGTCCGTTCTCTATAAGACTGTACGCCATGTCAATAACAATTTCCTTCGGCTCTTTGGGTGTGATGCCCAGGACGTCCTTCATCTGTAAATCAAGGTAAAATATTGCTTGTTACATTGAAAATGACAAAAGTGCCTTATAAAACATTTGTTTATATTTCATTTGATTGATTTTAGCTTTAAAGTGGTTAGCGCCTGAAAAGGCAGCTTTTGCGTGTTCCTCAAAATTGTATTGATTAATGTGTGTGCTAATTGTATTAATTGTATATCTATGTACTGTAAAGCGCTTTGGAGTGGCTTATGCTAGCCAGATAGGGGGCTATATCAAATGTTGTATATATTATAATTAATATTATATTTATCCTCTATCCTGGAAAAGTTGCTTATGAACTCTCATGAGAACATGTATAAACACTCGTTGCCAAAACTTACTGATTAAGACCATGTTTACCCACAAATGAATATACATAAAAATGTATCATTCTGATAATTGAGAAAAACCCAATTACCATAAAATTGTGCTAATTACATCCTGTAACTGCTATTACATTCATCTCAAGAAACTTTAAGATTCCGGAAGTGACTTACCCTAGTGTTGTCGAACTTGTAGACTTTATTCAGTTGTGGAATCAGCGTTTTTAGGTTTTTGTTGAAGCAGCTGTTCATCCACAGTATGGCATTGGGACATCCCGTGGTTGGCACGTTATACCCTGGTGGAAGAATCAATGTTGATCAGCAAAAATATCGCAGTATATGTAAACAAAGTGACCTAATTTCAGTCGTGTTCTAAATTATGTATCACGCTGATATTTCACAACACCAAAATAAACCTCGCTTTTTTTCTGTTTTTTTTTCTGTTTGGTTTTTAACACATAGTAATCCATCAATTCAATTTGGCGGTCTTCAATGTTTTGCTGGCTCAAAAAGCTAGTACAACAATTCAAAACTTTCCTGATAAACTTCTCATTTCTTTACCATTGTAATGCGAAGTAGTGCTATCTTTGTGGAAATGAGACGAGAGAACAAATTAGAAGGTGTGTCAGAGAGTCGGTGACTAAGGATAAATTAGAGGATAAGAGAGCGAGTGTCAGAGCTCGGCCGGCTGTGTAAATCGGAGAGTGGCTAGAGAGGGAACAGTTTGGACGTGAGATTTTGGGAGAAATGATGATGAAGAGTTACCTGGGTACAGAGTCTGGGGTGACAACATATGGGCAGTGTGGCTAAAGAGTGAAATTGTTGTGGTGTAGGTATGGACATTTAACTATATATAAATGTAAATAAACTGGAAATAGAAGTCAGCGCATTGCTTCATAATTATGACACCAAAGACAAACCAGTGGCCCCGCCACAGTAATATGAAAATAGTTCGCTCAAAACAGTTTCTATAATTTCACTTTTAAATACATTGTGTATATATATTAGCTACAGGTTTTAGGTGAATATAACTTGATAAAATGCATGACTAATTTCCTGTTTAGTTTTCAATAAGGGTAGGATTTGATTCCAAAGCCCTTGCCATCAGACGTACAGTAAAAGTGTAAACAACTGTCCTACCAAGTATATATCATTTGTGTTATACCTTACATTGAAAACAATATTGTACCTTGTGACTTGAACTCCTTGGATAAAATCTGGCCGATTTCCTTCATCCAGATATTGGCATTTGTGACGAGATGACGCTTTCCTGTATAAAAACAAAAATCAATATAAAATGAACAGTGTTTCACGCACTTATGCTTGTGGTAAACATCACTTTGGTGTCAAAGCCGTCGTATTTCTGGTCTTTTCCCCCCCTTTTTTTTTTTACATTTTATAACATTTGTAGGTTAAAGTTTGATATTAAAGACGATATTCAGATTTTTTCCAGACTTTTACCATACATGTTTGTTAAATAACTTTAATCAAACAAACACAATATTTATTTTTATTTTTTTTATTAACCATGGATAGTTGAATTGACCCCTGACCTGCAGCGTCATCCAAGGTCATGGCTTTGATATGGGCATTAGCCACGTCTCTGACGTCCACGATGTTGAAGTTCAGTTTGGGCACCAGAGGCATTTCACGCTCCAACAGCCTCTTCACCACCTGGAAACAATGACAAAAAAACCGTACTATTTATACTACTACAGCGCAGCACAAATTCGCATGCCCAAAGATTCTTCACTGCCAGGAACCAAAAAAGAGATAATTCAAAATATATCAGAATATTAACTTAATCTATTTTAGAACAGTTATGAAACAAACTTGAATTGACCTATATTAATCATTGCTGTCGTCTAGGTTGAAGCGTGCACGGTTTAAACTCATTCACCCCTGAAATTTCACAATGAACTATGCCAACCTTTGAATTGGAAGAGTTCAAATGTGTTTTCAAGGGTGAATGAGAAAATTATACCAGAGCGTAACACAATAGAAAGCCAATTTGTTTCAAAATCAAGGGAACAGAGTCGATCCGCAACAAGCTAAGACATGCATTTGACTGATACTGAAATCCCACAATGAAAATAAGGGCATCATGACGTCAAAGTGCTCTACCTTGTTTTGAATAAAATATCTTGAATTGAAAAGTGTTCTACTTTAACACAAAACAAGCACTTGCTTAGTAATTTCTGCTAGTAATCACTGGTTTGTGTACACTTTCTATTCCTCGTTCCATTCCGTAAAAAGAATGAATTGTAAAAGGCGTGTTTATTAATCTCGGGAAAAGTCTCTTATGCACGTATTTGCTTCTAATCATCAAAATTGTGTTTTGGAGGACTAAGACCCATACTGCGATTAAAATAGTCAGTTTTAAAATTCTTAACGACGCGACATTTAAGAATAAAACGTATAAAACTAGCTTTTCCATGACATAATAACTATTTAGAGATTTGTCTCAATAAAAGAACTCAAAATTTGATAAGCTCTGAATTACGAACACATCTGTATAGCTGCTATAAAGGATCGGTTTAACACTCTCTTAAAATAGACTCGCATATGTCTGGTTATCTAAATTTCTGATTTCCCCCCTAACAGGTAGAATAGCAGGTGAAAATCAAAACAAAATCGAGATAAGCAATATTTTGATGTATGATTTACGCTGTTGGAGCAAATATTTCTCTTTGGAATAACCAATTTGGTCGAGGGAGTTCTAATAATTAATGTTTTTATTAAAGAACAGTTATGGCCTGGACCCGGAAACAAGTTTGAGTTAACAAGGATTTGAAGATAAAATAGTTCGTGATAGCGAACTTAGACTATTTATGCTTTGAGTTATCCTGGTATCTGATGGATCTGATAATCAATATAAATGGATATTATGTCTGAGTCATCGTCACCATTAAATGTTAAAGCAAAGCAGATTGAATGAGTGTATAGTGTTTACTTTAAATATTTTTGTATAAAAATACAATAACTATATTTATGTTTCTAGACTTCGATAATTTGTCAGTGAATGTATTACGTTTTTTTCAAAATTAGATTATTGAGTCTGTGGAATATCATACATTTAACAAGAAGTGAACAATTATTATCCAACCGTTTCATATATAGAGTTTACACAACGAGTTTCGGTTGATTAACATGTTTATCTAACTAGAGTTAGTTAATTTTCAAACTTTAAAAACCGAGTGTCTTTTTAAAGTTTTAAAATTAACTAACGAGAGTAAGATATACGCATAAACAGTTACATTAATTCTTACTGATGTGCATTAACACGTGTATTATAACTTCTTAAATCATCATTATATTATTTGTTCTATCAAAGGCATTTTACACTTTTCCTGAACCTTTACAGTTACGAGTGTGTTTCTGATATCTTATTGTAGTTGATACAATATCATTTCCTTGTCAACAAATATATCGATTACTTCCTATGAAATAACACTGGCACTGTAGCAGGTCTAATGCAATATGCTGGTATGAGGGTGTCTGGGACTCATGGTGCCGTGCCTGTATGAGAAATCACCTGCTGAGAGGCATAAATGTGCAGTGTGCACACGAAGCTGTACACACACACATACAGCTGCATTATTGATGCAGAGAGCCGGCCACAAGAACAGCCTCAACAGCCATACACCCGCCAAACTGGCTCCCTCTACCGGCCAAAGCAACGCTCGTTATCAATGAAAGACATACAGGGTTTTGTGCAAATAGTTATTTTCTCTGTGTAGAATAAACACTTCCATAGCAATAAAGGTCACCGCCTTCTCTTATTCATAGTGAACTCTTTGTTTATTTCATCTTTGTTTTTGACAGTAAATAATGTGAATGCATTGGTCTATTTTTTCTATCATCTTTGTTTTTGACAGTAAATAATGTGAATGCATTGGTCTATTTTTTCTATCATCTTTATTTTTGACAGTAAATAATGTAAATGCATTGGTCTATTTTTTCTGTGTTATTTGACAGTAGACTGGAATTGTTACCCCATCCTTACCCTGCCGACAGTTGTAGTTATTTTTTCTGTGTTATTTGACAGTAGACTGGAATTGTTACCCCATCCTTACCCTGCAGACAGTTGTAGTTATTTAACAGTAGACTGGAATTGTTACCCCATCCTTACCCTGCCGACAGTTGTAGTTATTGGTCTATTTTTTCTGTGTTATTTGACAGAAGACTGGAATTGTTACCCCATNGAATACCCGACATGTTACTTGCATAATGGATGTCCCTTAAGTTTACTTTCTAAGGCAGATATCTAGTTCACACATTTATAATTCAAATAAATCTGACGGAGATACCTGGTAGACACCTTATGATGGACACATACCTCCAGACTGTTGCTCTGGGATCCGTTTATGACGGGACCCATAACATAAGATGGGTTCACCACTGCAAGCTCAATCTTATCCTCATCTGCAAATTCAAAAAAACAAGTATCTTACAGTTATCTCATATAAAAATACAACCACAGACTTAGGATTAAATGTATCTCGTGTGCAACAACAAAACAAATTTCTCTCCCAACAATTCATAACATACAGAACTGTTCTTACACCTCAGAATATACTTGAATGTACGGTTACGTGCCACAAGTCTTCCTGGTCATTTGTCCATTGGATTCTATGTTAATTTAGAATCCAATGGGAAAATGACATAAGGTGGAAGGCTTTTGGCACGTCGTGGTTTGTACACTCTCTATGCAGCAACATTTTGGCATTAATAATTAATTTGGAGTTATCGGTGAATGATTGAAACAAAATTGTGATGAATGCATGAAAAAGGACCTTGAAATAAGATGCTGTAAGCAGGTCGAGAAATGAAATAAAGGACAAAAGTATAACTTCAGGACGAATAATCCTTAACTTGAAACTACAATAAATATAATATAAAACGTAAGATATTTGGATAAATACATTCCGTAAAATACTATCTGATGAACGTGTGGATGATCTCTAAGCAGACAGTCGTGTGATAGACTGTTCACCATCCATACGCCGTTACTGATTAATTATCTGTCAATTTTTTCCTAATGTAAGTCGTCTCCTAACAAATTTAGTTTTAATTAATGTTCTAAAAATAATGTATACAATACGTATTATAAAACAGAGGGGGAAAGACGCTAATACATTGCACAGAAGAGAATTGTCGGTATATTTCCGAGATATTGACATCACAATTATCGTAATATTGCAACAGGCGTTTTCGGTAAGCGAATAAAGTTACTATAGAAAGAGATAACATGATTGGCAATCAATCTATATCCAACACTGGTACACATCCTGATACTCAGGATTCTTAAGTACAATACAGTATAACAACATTTGGCACTTAACATCAAAAGACTTGGCAATATTTCAGCATTTCATTCAATTGCAAACTAATTGGGTTTCTGGGGGTATAATGGAACATGGATTCAACCAGGTTTTCATCTTATATCCACGTTGGTAAAAAATATACTGGTTAAGTTAACTAATTTTAGGGATTCAGTTTCCATCAAAAGCCCACAGTAATCAAGGAAGTGTTAATATTGATATAAGGATCGGTTTCTCTATTTGGAACAATCTTCTATCTATGAATAGCCAATACTTGACTGGATAGAAGAGGTATTCTTTCCGTGAATACGCCAGAGCATATATTGCAATATAACGTATTTACGCTTTTTTGTGCTTAACATATTGCGCTAAATTTGGATTGCGCTCAAAGAAGTTTCTGTATATAGATTCAAGATGCATATATTGTGTGAGTACACCGATTCATCAATGTACTTATCTGCCGATAAATCAATAATGAGTTAAAATCTTAATCTGCTGAAATTCGAACTTTAAATTATAACGATTGTCTATAGGCATGATTCGATATTCATATATTACCTGGAAGTTCCTTCACGTAGTCCCAGGCAGCCTTTTCTGCTAAGGTTTTGCTTTTACCGTAAGCGTCAAGCTTTTCTGGGTCTGTCCAATCCTCTTCATTGAAAGTCTTTGAAAGATCGACGCCTGCACCCCCTTTGTAAAGAAGAGAAAAGAAATTATAATAACATTTTAATTAGCAGTACTAAATACATAAAGACAGAAGAAATGAAATGGAATAATTTTAATTTATTATGACAAATACCTTACATTTGCTTTTTGTAACATGTTTTCTCCTAGTGAACATCAGTCATGGACATGCAATGTATAGAAATTCTTAATTCAGTAAAATAAATAATTTGCTTCGTTCCTATGTCTGGGGAAATGACTTTCAAATACTGCAGCATCGTGAATGTGTTCAATATAAGATGGATCCGGTGATGCTAGTGTAGCCGTGCAATATCTTCTATGCATGTGCATTCAGTTTCAGCCAATCAAACAATGTTACTTACAGCCAACAGCTACACAGGAGCTCGTGAGGACGACACGCTTCACCGACTTAGCAGTGACGCAAGCCTTGAGGACGGCCTGCGTGCCCTCAACTGCCGGAGTAACCAACTCAGCCTCGTCCTTAGGGGCCGTTGACGGGAATGGACTTGCAACGTGAATCACGTACGTCACATCCTTCATAGCCCTGTTAGGTGAAATGAATGCCAACAGTTAAACATACATATCTCCAAACATTAGATAACATAAACATATATACAGAAATTGGATGGTTTGCATAGAGATATTCATTGTTTATTGGTTTAGCGTCCCTTGAACACAATATGGTCTTACAGGACACACGACCACGACGACAGATTACTGACAGAAGAGTAAAGGACAAAAAATGTTTCAATGGGAGGTAACAGATTAATTTTGGCTTCTACAGTGTCATTATGCACGGAACAAAGAAAACATCCCGAATTCTTCTCTTATTAGTATGCAGAAAGGAACATCGGGTCTATCAATGTTACTAAACTTGCTATGGATGTCATACATTCATTACAGAGTGTGACATAAAACGGGTTGAAGGTAATACTAAACAGGGACGTTTGTCATGTACTTTACAGGAGAACGAATATGAATGCTATTTTTGATAGTCAATTCGTTTATGTCGATTTTGTTCATGCAACCTACTATAACATGAAATTATCATGGATAGTTTCTTTCGTAATTTGAAGCTGTTTAGATTGCTTTGTAGAACGATATCACTTGAATATATCATACAAAAATAAAATAAAAAATAGACCGCCACTCCACACAAGCTGAATAGAATGCATCACATCGATCTCAAAGCAAACTGAATCTAATAAATACATATTTCCGACCTGTGTTCTACACCACCACCATGCATGCTACAATTATACGAACACAGAAGTGACTATTTTATTAAAAACAATTTTAAGACAGTTTTTTCGTAAATGCGATGAATGTTGTTTTCGTTTACAATGCAATATGTTTGTAGCAGGCAGAAATATGATGCATTGATTAAAAAAGTAAGTATCAATGACATTGCTTCAATTGTTTCCTTCTGCAGTTATTCCGGAATGAATCTGACTGAAGCCTCATCAGTTGTTCCTGTTACACAACTGCTAGTATCTGATTGGTCGTCTTGAGAGGCTAAGCCTTCATCCATCACTGTCATGGTCGCATTATCAAATGAATTTGTTTTTATCTGTGATACAAGTGGCCTATCGAGGTTGATTTTGATGGATGTAAGCGGCAGGCAAACGCTCGGATCACCCCGGCTTACACGTATCGGTTACCATTAACACAGGTCACGTGATAGCTAAAGTAGAATATACATTCGATCGAAACTTGATTTATGTGCCTCTTAATATCCAAAAACTTGTTTCAAGCTAGGTATACCCTTCACTTTTGTACCCGTTCCTAATCAGCTGTTTAGGACTCAAACATACGATATTCCAAAAAGAAGAATCGCCAAAACAAAAAACATTCCTGAGATAATTAGCTAACTCACAATAATGAAAAAGTATATTGTATCATTTCTATAAATCGATCTAAGGAAATAAAATTGAAAACAAAAAGCATACACTAAAAATCCTTAACCAGTAATATAACTTGACAACTATAGAAACTTTAAAAAATAAAATGTGTATGTCTTCCACAAAAAAAGTATTGTTCACGGCCCGTGTGACTGCTCAAGTCAAGTAGGCACTTAGTGAGGCCCTTTAACAATGGGTATTCTGGCACGCTAATGAGGCAAGCTGATGTGTCTGCGGTTGGCGAAGAGTGTGTCGACTATAAGCACACTACACATTCCCATCCTGTGTTCCACTTTACTACATGCAGGTTATGTAACATAACAATCTCGACGAAGAGCCGAAAAAAAGTACATTAATTTTCCTAATGAAACTGATTTCCTTACGAAACAAGAAATATATGTATTACGGTAGGTGAATGTCTTCACAATAATCTACTTGTACATTATAATTCTGGCTTGAGTAGAAGCGAATTTCTAACAATAAAAGTGACATTCTTTTCTCTCGTTATTTAAAATACATAGTTAGCGTGCATCTTGCATGTCAAATATTAGAGTAAAGCTCCGGAACAATTTTCAACAAATGTAATTCTCAAATGCAATTGGTTTTTTTCTACTAGTGAAAGCTTCTTTCTTTGCAAACATGAAGTTATTGTAGTCAAATATATGTTAACACATTTCTATCGACTAAGAGGACAATGTCTTACGAATGATGCGATAGAAAAATTATCATAGTAACTTACATGTAGTAACTTTCGTTCTATGCGAAATACGTCAACATATTTGATCAATTAAGTGTACACTACATGATTTGATACCGTAATGATGACATAACGTACTCCACATTAAAACTAGGAGATTTTTTCAATACAAACCAAGACTTCTCCTTGTAAATATGAAGGAAATTTCTATCAAGGGATAAATATCCAAATACATTCAATTCCACCACTTTTGGTGCCGTGACCAGGATTACATAATACACAACTAGGACAAACAAATGAACTTACGGTTCCCACGAGTCTGGCTTGGTGAGGTCAGCCTCGACCAGCTCCAGCTTGTGTTCAGCCTCCGGACAGAGTTCATTCAGACGCTTGACCTTCTCTTCGTCTCCTAGACTGCGAACCGTTCCCCTGACTCTGTAGCCCTCCTCCTGGAGCTGTCGCACAATGTGGGAGGCAATGTAGCCTGATGCCCCGGTCACCAACACAACTGCAAGTACAGAGAAATATATGTTACCTACAGTCATCATGATACGAAATATTAAACGCATCAGATATAAAAATCTAAAGTAATTGGTTTGCTTCATCCGTCACCAACACAGCTTGAATAACAATGCTATCCAAAATAGTGATGACTGGAATAAAAATCCTAACCACGCAATCAGGATATATAAACATTTCAATTACAATGCTATCTAAAATAGTGATGACTGGAAACGAAAACTTTATTGGTTAAACATAAAGAATCAAAAGGCCTCCAGAACTGGTCTCCCGCTCCTGCCATCATCACACCATTAAATAAAGTAAGGCTCGTTATGTATTTAAGATAAAGATATTTAAAATACAAATTTAAATAATTTGATTTTGCCTATCTCCCCCATAATATTTGTTCTGGTATATATAGTTTATACCTAAAAAAAAAAAAACTGATGACGGAACTACTTTTTACACAAAATTACAACGCAGCTTTTTTTAGCGCAATTGTTTAGTTTACGTAAAAATTAAATAAATCTTTAACTGTGTATTTACAACGTGTTTGTCTACCTTTTTAAATTAAATTATAAAGAATGCCCAAGATTTTGTTTTGGTATATACCGTATATACTAAAACAAAATCTTGGTCATTCCTTAAGTAATTCCGAAAGTAATGGTAATATATATATCATAACAGTATATATCACTTCATTCTGCCTATTGAAATAATTGTTCAGATTCTGGGTTATATCAGATTCTGGGTTATATCAGATTCTGGGTTATATCAGATTCTGGATGTCTTCGAAAATGTGATGACGTAATTCACAAGAAACCACAACGACATGAAAATTAATGAGCAAATTACTATTTATCGAGGGTATATATGCGTAACAAGACAAAATTTGGTCGTTTCTTTCACCTGTGCACGTGTTACGGTAATCTTAAGTAGAAAGAAAGGCTGGCATATAATACACTGAAGATATTTTTTCTCGAGAAAAGACTATTGCAGCGATGAAAGCCAGCTTCTCCGTTTTTTGGAATTCAGATTCACGATTTTTGCAAAATTCTTGCGTAAACAAAACAGCGGTTGTCGTAAATACGAGTCGGTTACATAATATAGATAATGTCTGGCTATTAGAGACGACCATAAAACCAAAGCACGAGATCATGATATATAAACACTTCCTGTAGCAGCTTTCTAAATTGTTTCAGTCTCAGTTTCATAAAATATCACTACATTGAAATGCACTAAGACAATTTTCTTTATGAGAAGGCCTAAACTATGTGGAATCTATCGATAAAGTTTCCCTGCTCATAAAAAGAGAATCTACAGGGGCTTGAATTGTACATAACTATGTTTGATATATGTGCTTAAATTTAAACGATATGCTATTTTTTGCTTTCCTTCAGGACAACAAAACACTTTACCATCGCGAGCGTATGAAACTGAACCTGCTCACTCGACTATATGTCTGCCTCTCAAATCACTCCGCGGGGAAGTAAACACTTACATCTTAACATATCACATCAAATTTTGTATTGTACCAAGGCCAATATGATCACTCTATAGTCATCAGATGCATTTCAGTAACAATATATTGGCATGGTATCAGACGATTGCTTCGACTTCATTCGGGAATTGTGCCCCCTGTTAGAGAAATTGCTGAGTTTTACAATTGACATTTGTGTAGTTTTCAAATGTTATATTGTAACGTATTAAAAACAAGGCTTTCTTTGCCAATATTGTCTATTTTTCTGTCAACAAAAGAACAGGCGTTGGTTATAAAGAATTGGTAATCAACTGAGAATTGACTGAGAATAATAATGTTCAACCAAATATTTGTACTGTTAATAGCAGACTGATTCCTTAGGCACATTTAATCAAAGTTCGGATCGAAGTTCTTGCTGTCTGAACCTTGATAGAGCAGTTTTATCTGTATCTCAGGATTATGTCCCGTTGTCAAGGGTTATGCACACTTGTAATAAGTGACAGAAAAGATTTGTGTTTACTACATATAGTGCACACATTCTCTTCACTATGATATTGGGAGTAAACAGCTGTCCCGTTTTATGATACTTTCTGTAAGCAGTTTTTAAGTCTCGCGACTCGCAGTTTTGAATTCGTACGGTAAGAAGTGTCACTTTGATTAGAAAAGTATCTGTCGTGTAAAAATCCAAACCTCAAAATTCGACACACAAGAAAAAAATAAAAAATAAAAATGCCGCAGAAATGTGTGACACATGAATTTACACGATGCAAATTAACATTATGCAGATTTATTGATATCAAGAGTCTATAAAAGATCAAAATGATACGCTCAGCAACATACAGTACAAATTGACAACATCACTGTTTGCTCTTTTAAATCGATTTCAGCAAAAATGAGTAGAATCTACATAGGATATATATCCGGTACTACACAGGAATGAGCAATTCACATTAATTTTCTAACTATAACGTGTTCAGAAGTACTTAATGATTCTCTGAGTGGCCATACCGGCGCCTTCATTTGCTTTCTACTGAAATTAAGAATATAAAAACAATGTTATAACGATAAGGACATCCCAGGTGTTTGGTGTTCTGTCTGTCAAGAGACCACCTCAGGTAGAACTCATCGATTCAAATATTGAAAATTCTAGATTCCCCGACCTGATGATCTGTTATATCTGAATTCTATGACTGCCGACTACAGTATAATATATACATAAAACTGCTACAGACGACGGTATGCATTGCATGAGCACAGCGCGCCGACAGAGAATGGCGTCTGCAGGGCCTCTCACGAGAGGCTGATTCTCCCTTTCAACTTTTCAATTAATCGATAGAGATGAGATTGGAAATACAGACCATCAGAGTAATCTGTCTGTATTACTGAGGTGAGGAGAAGATCTATCAGAAACCAATGAAATCCGCCAATATTCAAAATGGTTTTTCAGACGATTACGTACATATACAATGTATTGATAATTGCTGCCGTTTGCGGGTAAGAAGGATTTACATGTAGGTTGTCTGGACGAAATCATGTTGTAGGATTATAAAGGATGTTTAATACATAAAAATGACCGAAACCTGCAAATGCATATTGTAGTAAACTAAGTACTATAAGATCAAATGTATTTTTACTGATGATAATGAGAAGGAAATAAACTGGACGGAGTTACTTCAGTCGTTTGTGTTCAATGTAATAATACATTACTTATAGTTATCGATAGCAATACGAATAGCAATTTCTGTCTAAAGTCACAAACAACTGTTACAGCAAGAGAAATGTTAGTTCTCTCCTTTAACATTGGGCGGGCTTACACGGGTGTGGCGGCGTAAAATTTATAGCTTTTTCTGGCGGCGGTTCGGCTGTATATAACTGTGTACAAGTCCGACTATTCACCTCGTGCCCTTGGTAAGCATATATATATCCATTGTACTCGTATAAGATAAGAATTCCGCTGGACTTGAACCAACATATTTTCATAGAAAAACGATATCAGTGACTTGGGTTTGTTCGATAGCAACACCTTGGGCTGTAATGCATGTTAACGGTGTGAAATCGTGTCGACTTTGCGGATTTTATGAGCCTTAAAACAGATATTCGAGGAATCCTAAGACGCTCTCCTGCACTTGATGTACTTACACATGTGTACTGACAATTTACCTGTACTTAAATACCTGTATTCATCTTTACTGACAGAACCCATTACACCGACACGGATTATATGGAAAATGGTATTGCCATTCGGTTCCCTTGTTAACGCTCATTTTCGTAATTCTATTGATAACAGTGTCGTAATACATGGTATTTGAATTATTTAAAAATACGTTGAACTGCCCAGGTTAACACTTCAGGTACATTGTACATCAGAAGGTAGATCACGATGGCCTTGCATTTGATCTTAACAAGTGTTTCTTGGCAAGCTACCCCGAGGCATGTTGTGGTTTTAGCCGAGTCAGGTCTCAAAATATAAAATATTCAGTGGGCCAGTCTTGCTACATGTAATAATAGAAACTTTTCAATGTATTTCAACCCCGTTCAAATGGAGGATTCTGGGCCGACTAGTCCAATAACAAATTGAAAAGGGTAAGTAATAGCCGGTCCAAACGCAAGTAAATAATCAAACGGTTCAACCCGCTAATGGTAGGAAATCTGCGGTGGTCATTTGCAAGGACCATGAACCGATCCATCAAACTAACTGATATTCGAGATGTTTGCAACGTGACCTTGTCATACGGAATGTCACTCTAGTCAAAGGTGCAAACATGTACGTATGATATCGATACCAAGGTGTGTAACTTCTTCACCTGTCTATCTGTGTAACACATTATGTCAGGGTTTGATGATGATACACATAGGGCTATCACTGTGCCACCTGTTACAACTGTTAACTAGGACTCTGTAAGATCCTCGTGTTTTTATTAGCCCAATGACATAGTTAGGTAACGTAAAAATATTTGATGCGCGGATTAAACACTTTTATTTATATACGGGTATGGCGTGATGGCTGACATACATATTATATGAAGCAAGATTGTGTATATGTTCATGTAAATAAGCCTTGGCAAAATTCATACCGGAAGGCGATTTGAATACTTTCGAATTTCATTCTAACAATTTAGTGATCAAATGTCCAAATTCAGTCGTTCACTGACAGCTAGTTTTAAATATATGTATATATGTTGACATTGGAACGAATGTTCTAAAGTTATTATTCAATCAAAGTAGACTTGCAAGCGTCACTTAATTAGTATGACGTCATAGCCGAACTACCTGTTTAGCCTATTCTTTTATTGACTTCTAATTTTAATCTTATGTTTTTAGCGAGATTCATAGTCCTATGGACGCTATTTTCATAAGGTAGGCTGTTAGAGTTCAAATGGAACAACCATTATAATTCGGCTTACAGTGCCAACATTTCAATATCAATATATATACATTAGACAAAAGAGTGATGAAAGCTCATGTGAACAGGCTGGTGATAAATTCAGATTAGCTTATCGTTTCCGTTTTCCCAATGAATAATGGCC